TAGCAGTTCTATATTGATTACTGGATAATAATATCTTGAAATATTGAAAAAATACTTGAAGCACCAAATTAAGACCCTAAGAAATATATTCAACGATTTCTTACATGGAATTAAAGAAATCTTAATACAATACATTTATAATCGCAGTTTTTATGGCTGAGGAAAAATATTAATATATGTATTTTATGATTAATAATTGTTTTATAATATTTTTTGTTGAGAGTCCCACATACTCTACTTTTAATATTTGCTTATATGCTATCAAGAGTAAGGTGATCTTTTGATTAGTGAATATTTGTTGGAGAATATTTTAATAATATCGTATATGTTAATGAATTTTTATAGAGGATATTTGACATATGAAATTTGCTAATTTGTCATTATTTGATCATAAATATTAATTGGAAGCTCCTAAGAGCTTCCACAAGATTGTAAATTCTTTAAAGGAAGGATTTTGAGATGAAAGATATTTGGAAATTATAAAGTTTTTGGTTTCACTTTTTTGTGTTTCAGCTCAAGATTGAAACAATCATAAAATAAAATTTTTATCTATGAATCCATATATATAGCTAAGTTAATTAAAATAATCTTATGTGGATTGCTAATGATTTATGAGGTCACTGTGATAAGAAATGACCATTTTTCAAAATTTGAGAAAATTATGAAAGGACCTTATTGAATCCTTGAGTACAATATATCTAGTGTAAAATAAAGACGCTAATTATACTCTTGCTAGTCATGATGATTAGATAATAAGCATTTTTCCCATAATTTTGTTTTGCAAGAATAATAGTTCTTCCTCAATATGAAGAAATTAAATAGAGTAAATATGTATTTTTGATATCTCACGGCAATGATCATATAAGTTATATTATTAACTAACAAGAGGGGAAGTACACACGCATTGTATTATTTTTCCCTTTAACCAAGATTTTTTCCCAATTGGATTTTCCTGATGGAGGTTTTTTAGTTAGAACGATATTTTAATGCGTAATTTAAAAAAAAGAATAATGTTCCTTTTTTTCCTTCACTAAGTTTTTTCCCACATGGGGTTGCTTCTTTGTTTTGTTTTGCTTTGTTTTTTTATTAGTAAATGTTTTAAATGAGGCATTAATTATTGAAGAATGAAACATTCCAAGGAAGGAGTGTTTATGAAATAATCAGACAGTCCACATAAAGCTAGAAGTCTAATATTCTTAATTATTACGAACTCTATCTTCCTGATCCTGTAGAACTTCTATTAGCATTCCACTTTTATATATAATATATTACATATTATATATAATATATATTATATATATATATGGCTTCTCGTCTAATAACAAATATACGCCTTATATTGTGGGTCTATATATATATGGCTTCTCGTCAATAACAAATATACCCTTATATTGTGTCTCTATTTTTCTATTATTTTATAACAGTTTTTTTAGTCAATCAAAGCCTCATTAGAATTTATCCAAAAATCAAAGTGATGTAGAAAGTAAGAACTTGTTCGGTTAGTTTTAAATCAAATCGAATTAATTTAAATTAAATAAACTAAATTTTTATACAAATTGAACCTAAACAAATTAAAATAGTGCAGATTGATTTGCTTTAATTTAAGTTTTAGATCAAATCAGTCCGATTTTCATTTGTTAATTTTCAATTTTATATAAGAACAGAACAGAAATGCAACATAATTTAGGTTATGCAAAACTAACGTAGCGCAGAATTCACAACTTCAAGACATAATAGATTCCTAGAAATTTCCCCATTAAATACAAAAGTGAATTTATGCATCTGGCCATAAAAAATTGACCACGCCATTAAATACGACCTAAATCTTGCTAAAATATTAGTCATTTTGTTAGGGTACGTTTGGAAGGGTGGAAAACGCAAGGACCGCGCCCATTACAACTCCACTAGCAATATGTTTTTCTGATTGAGCATGCTCCCTAATCCATTAACATAAAGAAAATGAATTTTCCCAATTGCACAATTTGAATTTCACTGAAGTGATACAAAGTCAGAACAGACCCTCCTGGCACTTGCAGTCAACTATCCGGCTAACGGAAATTCAGTCAATTAAAATATTTCTAAAGCATCAAGCGCATATCCTTGTACCACGACAATTTCTAAAACACGAGTACAGAGTTGCACCATTGTCATTATTGCACCCCACTCCATCTAGCCCAGTCTACAAACTGCATACCACCATAAACGTTGTTGGCGAATCTCACACCAACTGTGAAAGCCATTGCAACTGGTGGAACCTGCTTTGCCAAGGGCGATGCTTCGACAACACGTTCCAGTCCATTAATAATTTGGTAACGCGTGTTTGATGAAACTGCAAGAAAAACACCTGCAAGTTTAAAGAAAGAAAACCATTTATTAGAAAAACATAATTTTTTATGGTTCTCCCCAAGAAAGTAATTAGTTATATGCTAATTTGACGTAGAGATATTTGAATATGAGCTAATGGATGCCTATTTATATGCTAATTTGACGTAGATATCTATATGAAAATCCTTAAAGGATTCTAGTTGTTTGAAGCATAAAGTTAAATTCTCAAGAAATATATTCAACTAATATTTTAGAGTTCTATATTGATTACTGGATAATAATATCTATGAAATATTGAAAAAATACTTGAAGCAACCAAATTAAGACCCTAAGAAATATATTCAAGATTTCTATATATTTTCAAGGATTTCTACATGGAATTTAAGAAATCTTAATTACATACTTATTAATCGCATTTTATTGGCTTGAGAAAAATATTATTATTATTTATTGAATTATATTGTATTTATAATATTTTTTGTTGAAGAGTCACATACTTTCAATACTTTTAATATTTGCTTTATAGCTATCATGAGAGTAAGGTGAATCTTTTGATTTAGTGGAATAATTTTTGTTGCGAAGAATATTTTAATAATATCGTTATTGTTTAATGAAATTTTTATAGAGAAATATTTTGAATATGAATTTTGTTAATTTGTCATTATTTGATCATAAATATTATTTGGAACTCCTAAGAGGCTCCAAAATTGTAAATTCTTTAACAGGAGGATTTTGAGATGAAAGATATTGCGGAAATTAAAAGTTTTGTTCAAAGCCTCAAGATTGAACAATTCATAAATAAAAATTTTTATCTATGAATCCATATTATATTAGCTTAAGTTATTTAAAATAATCTTATGTGGATGCCTAATGATTTATGAGGTCACTGATAAGAAAAGACCATTTTTTCAAATTTGAGAAAATTATGAAAGGAACTTATTTGATTCCTGAAGTACCCATATATTAGTGTAATAAAGACGACTAATATATCTTGCTAGTCATTATGATTAGATATAAGCATTTTTCATTAATTTTTTGTTTTGCAAGATATAGTCTTCTCGAATATGAAGAAAATTAAATAGAGTTAAATATTGTATTTGATATCCCACGGCAATGATATATGAAGTTATATTATAACTAAACAAGAGGGGAAGTACACACGCATGTATATATTTTTTCCCTTTAACCAAGATTTTTTCCCTCAATTGGATTTTCCTGATGGAGGTTTTTAGTTAGACGATATTTTAATGCGTATTTAAAAAAAGAATAATGTTCCTTTTTCCTTCACTAAGATTTTTCCCACAGGTTTTTTATTAGTAATTGTTTAATGAGCATATTATATTGAAGAATGAAACATTCAAGGAGAGTGTTATGAAATAATCAGAAGTCCTACATAAGCTAGAGTCTATATGCTTAATTATTTCGAACTCTATCTTACCTGATCCGTAGGAACCTCTATTAGCATTGCCACTTTCTATATATATATTTAACATATATATATATATTATATATATATATATTATATGGCTTCTCGTCAATAACAAATATACCCTTATATTGTGTTCTCTAATTTTCTATTATTTTTATAACAGTTTTTTTAGTCAATCAAAGGCCTCATTAAGAAATTTATCCAAAAAAATCAAAGTGATGTAGAAAGTAAGAAACTTGTTCGCCGTTTAGTTTTAAATCAAAATCGAATTAATTTAAATTTAAATAAAACTAAATTTTTATACAATTGAACCTAAACCCCCAAATTAAAATAGGGCAGATTGATTTGCTTTAATTTAAGTTTTAGATTCAAAATCCAGTCCGATTTTCATTGTTAATTTTCAAATATTTATATAAGAACAGAACAGGAAAATGCACATAATTTAGGTTATGCAAACTAACGTAGCGCAGGAATTTCACAAACTTCAAGACATAATCAGATTCCTAGAAATTTCCCATTAAAATACAAAGTGAATTTATTGCATCTGGACATAAAAAAAGTTGGGACCCACGCCATATAAAATACGACCTAAATCTTGCTAAAATATAGTCATTTTGTTAGGCGTACGTTTGGAAGGGTGGAAACGGCAAGACCGCGGCCCATTTTACAACATCCACTAGCTCAATAGTTTTTCTATATATATATGGCTTCTCGTCAATAACAAATATACCCTTATATTGTGTCTCTATTTTTCTATTATTTTATAACAGTTTTTTTAGTCAATCAAAGCCTCATTAGAATTTATCCAAAAATCAAAGTGATGTAGAAAGTAAGAACTTGTTCGGTTAGTTTTAAATCAAATCGAATTAATTTAAATTAAATAAACTAAATTTTTATACAAATTGAACCTAAACAAATTAAAATAGTGCAGATTGATTTGCTTTAATTTAAGTTTTAGATCAAATCAGTCCGATTTTCATTTGTTAATTTTCAATTTTATATAAGAACAGAACAGAAATGCAACATAATTTAGGTTATGCAAAACTAACGTAGCGCAGAATTCACAACTTCAAGACATAATAGATTCCTAGAAATTTCCCCATTAAATACAAAAGTGAATTTATGCATCTGGCCATAAAAAATTGACCACGCCATTAAATACGACCTAAATCTTGCTAAAATATTAGTCATTTTGTTAGGGTACGTTTGGAAGGGTGGAAAACGCAAGGACCGCGCCCATTACAACTCCACTAGCAATATGTTTTTCTGATTGAGCATGCTCCCTAATCCATTAACATAAAGAAAATGAATTTTCCCAATTGCACAATTTGAATTTCACTGAAGTGATACAAAGTCAGAACAGACCCTCCTGGCACTTGCAGTCAACTATCCGGCTAACGGAAATTCAGTCAATTAAAATATTTCTAAAGCATCAAGCGCATATCCTTGTACCACGACAATTTCTAAAACACGAGTACAGAGTTGCACCATTGTCATTATTGCACCCCACTCCATCTAGCCCAGTCTACAAACTGCATACCACCATAAACGTTGTTGGCGAATCTCACACCAACTGTGAAAGCCATTGCAACTGGTGGAACCTGCTTTGCCAAGGGCGATGCTTCGACAACACGTTCCAGTCCATTAATAATTTGGTAACGCGTGTTTGATGAAACTGCAAGAAAAACACCTGCAAGTTTAAAGAAAGAAAACCATTTATTAGAAAAACATAATTTTTTATGGTTCTCCCCAAGAAAGTAATTAGTTAACACTTAGCAAGAAAATGAATCTAAACGTTGAAGATAAGCAACAGAGAAAGTGAAGAAAAATGTTAATCAGGTAAAGCAGAACCTACGGACGCAGTAATGCACGCTCCAAGCAGAAACAAAACACTATTACACTAAAATGCACACATGCACCAGATACAAGAAATTACTAAACAATACTGCAAGGTTTCATAATGTAAGTTATCATTTCTTAGAAGTGTGATTTTTATTTGGAAATTACAGCTGAAAGAAGCATGTCATGCTTCAGTTGTTCAGTTGTCATAGCATAAGGGAAAATGAACTGTCAGGCATCAAGCAAGGAAATAGATACCCATAAGATAAGAATAGCCATATTACAAGTCAAGTGTGTTTCATATATTTTTCCAGTATATATATATATATATATATATATAGATTAGATAGAAAGAGAGAGTGAGAAAGTCTGGCAAATTTAACAGGCTGTAAACACAAACAGCAAGCAGTAAATATACTTGGAGGATTAGGGGATAGATAATAATCATGAGACAATCTGGATGGAAGGTCATATAAAGCATACTGGAAATTTTATTGCCTATGGTTCATCATTGTTAAGTGGCTGATTGCGTCAAATATTAATTATGGTTCACCAGGGTCAATAAATAATCTAGAATATTTTTAGCTCTTGTTTTTCAATGGCAGAAATTTGACACTAGTATTGGATCAATGGCAAGATTATGGCATCAAAAGAATGTCATAGTTTATCTAGAGGGTAAATGCCCATTCCTACACAGTATACAAATATGTTATTTAGCATGTAATTGTTGAACTTCCAACATCAATTATGATGCCAAACATGATAAACATCATTTTGCAAAAGTTCAGTTATAGCTGTATGAGATATCAAATTCACAAAAATCCATGTGCATACTCATTCAATAATATCTACCCTAGGAATTAGACACGATAACTCAAAACACTGCTAAAAGAATCGAGACAACAAACAGGATCAAATAATATGAGGAGAAAAGGCCATTGATTAGCTGAGGAAAACATCCAATAAACATATAAACAAAAACCTTTACGTTAATTCATGCAAGTTCATGGGCATCAAAACATGTTTCAAAATTATGCCGGAAAATCAACTTGATAACTTATTGCCAATCTAAGCACACAAGCAAAGCATACCCCAAAGAACTGCACTTTTCACAAGAGGTGGCACAGGTATGTCATCTTCTGATTTCTTTATGCTCCTGACAAATGCAATTACATTATAAGCAATTCAAAGCTTAATGAAAATCCAATAGCAGCTTGATTCTTGTATGATATAATGTCCTTAAACATTAATGTTAGCAATAGATAATACAAAAACGTGAAGGACACCGAATTTATCTATCAGGACTATGATAACAACCAAGTAGAATTCAAATAAACCATATCCTTGGCATATTAAAAATTTATGTAGCACACAGACTCCATCAATAAGTAAAAACATTTCAATCATAGATATCTCAAGTACTAATTTGAATGTGAAACATCTATGTTGAAAAGAACCATAGCAACCTATTGCACAGTTTTACAATCATCTAAATAAAGATTAAATGATTACATTCACCAGGGAGAAAGAGCAGCTGCTTGCCTACTAAAATAACGCCTATTAGAAATATAACAGTTTCACTAACAGTGAAATCCTTCTTTTCCATTCCCAGTATCACTAGCAATATGTCTTATGCAAATTTTTCATGTTTCAGCTACTAGGATTAAAATCAATATAATGAGACCTATACAGGATTTTCTCTAAAAGATAACAATCTGAAGTTCATTAAATCTACAAACAAACTCCCCTAATTCCACCCCTCAATCCCAAAAATGAATTAAAAAATAAATAAAGTACTATCCAAAATAAAAAGTTGGTGCATGATCAGCCTATAGATATAAGTGATACCGCTTAGCAGTCATTATGAGATTTGCTATGCCTTGGCCGATAATACCGCATGCAAAGCCAACTGATCCATACAGGACTCCCTGGAAACAAAAGGTATAGATCATCAATAATCAATCCAAAAGAATTTGAATACAAATCAATTAATGTACATGAAAAGCTTACCTTGTAGAAGTACGTTGCAATTCTCTGCTTTACAGAGAATCTACATCCAGGTCTTTCAGCTTCAAACACACTGTGTCAGATATGCACTTTAATACATTATTCACAATATTCCAAAGCTGTGAAGAAAATTGTGCTAAAGTATGAATATACAAATTACTATGCAAGATAAGCTCATTAGTATGCAAAACAAAATGTAGTGGGCATGAACTACTAACCTACTAGGAAGAGCATCATAAGCATGTCGCAACTGTCCAAAGAACCCCTTAGACACAGATGTTTGTCCAATACGTGCATAGGGTGCTAACATGCCAACCAAAGCAACATTTACCACCACACCAACCAAAAGATCTGCAACATACAATTCAAACTCCGCCCAAAAGTCTTTGCCCCTCTTTTGAATTTCCGCAAACGTAGCACAACAAGAATCAATAACTATCTGCATTGCATTAAAATACTCATGAAAGTTACGGGAAATGCAAAACAAACTCAATGCTGTTCTATTGCTCTTGAACTAAAATTTTTATCCTATCTTTTCCTAGAAATGTCAATAGTGAGCTTTACTGGAACAAAATTTACAAGTTGAACGCTTTTGATGTTACAAACTGAAGGTTAAGTGACCGCATCGTGAATCTGTAAGAAATTTAGTGACCAATGGCGAACTAAAGCCACCTCGCTTACAAGAGAATTATCTAATCATGATGTAAGTTAATTTGCGCAGATAGCAGTGCCAGTTAACCAATTTAGCAGAATTTAGCATAATCTTATCCCATCCACATAGTAAAGATGCAGATTTTGCTTTGGAAAAAGAAAGAAGAAGAAAAAGGAGCTTAACAAACCTCTGTTCCAATTTTAAAAAGGAAGGATGGATCAGCCAACATTCTATTTCGTAGCATAGAGCATGACTTCATTGCAAAACCCAAAAGTCCACCTGATCCCTGCAGTAACAAAACAAAAGGAACAACAAATATCAACAACCTTAACCAAAATAATAATAATCATCACCACTTCAAATTAAATGTATCCATACAATTGAATTAGTTCACAAATCACCTGCAAATCCAAATATCGAAGCAGAAGAACTTTGCGAATCCCCACACTCTTAGCAGCCTCTAGCATATCAGAAGGAAGACGTGCCCCTCTAGCCTCTGCTTCTTTGATCACCTCATCAAATTTCATAATCGGTCCAAACTCTTCTTCTTCTTCTTCTTTGCGCTCTCCTTCACCATTGCCGCCACCTCCACCACCAGGAAATTTCCCATTTCCTCCATTTCCATCAAATATATCTCCACCACCATTGCCACCAACATCAGTTTCTAATTCATTTCCCTTCTCCAAAATCTTAACATCCTTAGCTACAACAGTCTCACTGCCTTCCTGTTTAACTACAGTGGATGAGAGCACACCAGATTCCGGTTCTGCTTGTGAGTGCGAGCTCCGAACTACAAGCCTCTGTTTCTTAGCAGAGAAATGTGGAGCCCGCACGTGGAAAGTCACCTCCTTTACTAGTGTTTTGAACCGAATATTGTCAGGGATAGCAAAATTCCGACTGATCAAAACGGCTTCGTTTTGCGAATTCGCAGCTTTTGATAATCCGAAACTTAATGCAGAACCCGCCATTTCTCTAACCAGCTAGGAAAAGTCGACAAATGAATGTAAATAAGCTTCGCACCGACAAATCAAGAACCAACAACCTAACTAAGACTAAGAGCTACTCAAGAATTAGAAAAGCACTCGAATTTAAACTCTTTTTCAACTTAACAAAAAGAATCTAGCTTGCCAGGAGAGAGAGGAAAAGAGAAGTGGAGGTGAGGTGGGAATAAGGGTGATACTGGGTAGGTGGCGAATAAAGGGAAGGAAGCGAAGAAGCAACGGCGTAGGCAAAGAAGCATAAACGAACAAAGAAGCGTAAATGATTCGAGTGTTATGGCGCTCTGTCTGGGTTTTGGAACTCTTGGCATTCATGCTGTTTGTGGCACGTGTGGGAAGATATTCTGAAAGTGTTGGCATTTCTAGGGTTTTGCTATCTGACGCATCGGCTGCTATTTTTTTTAATAAATTATTGATTATTGATGTGGGTTTGTTGGAATAGGGAAGGCTTACTATAATTTTAATCCAGCTCATTTAGATTTATTTTTTAATTTGATAATTTAAATTAATCGATCCTGTTTAATTTAGAATTGGAAAAAGCTCGGTTTTGGCCCCTTAACTTGGTGCCCAAAATTAATTTACCCATATTTTAACTTTTAACCCAAAATTCTCATTAATCATCATATTACAGCTAAATAGTTCACACATTCAGCTGGTATGAAAACGTGATTCCCGAGCAGTTTAAAAATATTTAAAAAAAAAAGAAATATTAAAGATGAAAACATTCTATTAACGTAATTACCGTTAAAATGCTACCTTTGTTTTTCAAAATTTTTAAATTATCAGAAATCAAAACCCCTAACACTAAAATAAATCCTTAATCAACGAAGAATGAGGATAAGAGATCAAGGAAGCTCGGTTTCTAGAGGTTGACATTCAAGCTCACCCAACATTCGGAGAAATGGAGGTTCTCATCTAGAGTATGATTATGAGGGAGCGGCTCGATATTTTATATGTGGTTTGAAGCTTTGTTATACCCTTAGCCAAAAGCGGGTATATGTATTACAACCTTAAAAGACTTTACAAAAAAACCAACAAGGAGTACAGGGAACAACCTTTCATTTATCACTAGAAAGATCCAAAGCATAGAATGTAAAAGAAATAGCAAAGAGTACTGTTCTGAGCCTACAAGGTTAAATAATAACCTCTACCAACACAAGGATTAAAGAATCAGAGGTATAACACTATCAAAAGCCTTGTTACACTATACTCCGCAATTGAGTACGTGTATCACAAATTTAAAAGACTTTAAAAAAAAAAAAAAAAAAAAAACCGGCAAGGAATACAAGGAACAATCCTTCAGTTATCATTAAGACGATCAATATTAAAGCATAAAATATGGGTTACAATACATGAGACATAAAACACTCCAATAAAACAATGTTGATCACACCACAAACAAACAAATAAAAAATTTTGTTGAGTTCTTCCAGTTAATAAAAAAAATGTTTTTCCTGAGTTACTTTTAGTTAACAAAGAAACAAAAACAAATAAACCACTTACCTTTGATATCGAGAAGAATGAAAAAGTCACTGTCAATTTCGGTTTCACTTTTGAATATCAAAGAAAAATTTATTTTTTCCCCAATTTGATTTTTACCTCAATTGAAAGGCACCGCTCCTTCGTTGCTCTACATGTGCAAACTTCATATTACAAAAGGAGATAGCTTGGCTTATTTTTCCCTCGATAATATTTGGTAACTGAATTGGTGGTATGAAGATTTAGCTTTGAATTTCTTTTCTCACTCTCTTTGAATTTTGATTATATTACACGCGCACTAATGTTTGAGCTATTTGGTTGTAATACGCTAATTAATGAAGAAATTTGGCTTTAAAGTTAAAATATGGGTCAATTGATTTTGGGGACCAAGTTGAAGGGCCAAAATGAGCATTTTTCCTTTAGAATTTTACTACCAACTTTTAAGTTTCAGTTCGGTTTCATTTTTTAAACAAAAAACTAATTAATCAAACCACCTGAAATTGGGATTTTTTAAATATAATATATTAAAATTTCATTAAAAACTTAAAATCAAATTTAGAGATAGAACAAAACTATTATAACTAAAGTTGTTCAATGATCTCTAAATCTAATGAAAGAACAAACCGCACTATCAGAATCCAAAAGATAAAAATTAGTGCATTTAAAAATTTCTCCACAAATTGCACATCTAAATTAAACAAAACAAATGCAAAAAAACAAAACAAATACTAATGGAGAGGTCATAAACTTCACACAAGATGGAAATAAACTACAAAAAATAACAAAAATATAAATAACATAGATTTATATTAAATAGATATAGATCTGTAATTTATTTAACAAAAGAAATGAAAATTTTCAATAAAACCAGAAACAATAAGGAGGAGCTATCACAAGAAACAATAATCAACCCTATCCATATCCACGTACTTAATTTTTGTGTTTAAATAGTAAATGAAAGAAAATTTTAATAAAAAAGAAAGAAAATGAAAGAAAATTTAAATTAAAAAATAAATTTAAGAAAAGATAAATTTTAAAATTTTAAAATATTTAATTTATTTAACAAAAGATAGAAATGAAAATGGTTCAATAAAACCAGAAAACCAATAAGGGAGGGAGCTATCACAAGAAACAATAATCAAACCCTATTCCATATCCACGTACTTTAATTTTTGTGTTTTTAAAAATAAAGTAAAATGAAAGAAAATTTTAATAAAAAGAAAGAAAATGAAAGAAAATTTAAATTAAAAATAAAGTTTAAGAAAAGATTAAATTTTTAAATTTTAAAATATTTAATCACACCACACACCACACACACACCACATATTATATTATATTATATATATATATTATATATATATATTTTTTTTTTTTTTTTTTTTTTTTTTTTTTTTTTTGCTTTTTTTTGCTGGCCATCGCAATTGATTTCTTAGTTTAGTAATAAGGGTTGATACTCTAGCATCAAAAGATCTTAGCTTGTATCTTTTTCCCTAATTTTCAACAATAAAAAAAATATTTTCTACCTATTACAAGCTGTAGGCATGGCCGGTTCAGTGAACTGCCGGTTCCGGTTCACTGAGCCGCTGGTTTGAGATGTTTAAAATTTTGAACCGGAACCGACCCTTGAACCTCCTGTTCCAATACGGTTCGGCACGGTTCCGGCGAACCGACGGTTCGAATTACGGTTCCGATTCGGTTCCGGCATTACGCAAATTTTTAAAAAAATAATAAAATTTGATTCCGCAATTCATAAATAAAATAATAATTTTTAAAATGTTTAAAATTTATTAACTAAATAAATTTTATAAAAAATTTTAAAAGAAAAAAAACTTCTATTTAAACTAACTTAGGAATTATTATTACATTAATTTACAAATTTTGCTAATTCATAATATAGAAAACTATAATTGGAATATAAAATTAATGGAATGAGTGGAAAATTATTATTTTTCAACATACTAAGAAAATTATTAAAAATTAAATAAAGTAAATATGAATGTAAAAAAATTAGATTAGAGAAAGAATTTGGAATTGGATGTAAGAAAATAAAAAATAAACAATAGATAATTTCCAATATTAAGGAAAATAAAGACAATAGAAAAAATAATGAATTATGGAACATTTTGAGAGAATTTTGATTGAGAATAAGAGAAGGAGTTAGAATTATAATTGGTTGTGAAATAAATAAATCATCAATTCATTCATATTGTATACATTTGTTTCTCATTTATTAGTTTTCCAAATTGTCCCTTATAACAGAAAAAATAACAGCTATATTTTTTGGATAATTTAGTAAATTACAGTAAATTTAAATAAATAAATTATTAAAAAATAAATAAATTTTATTTACCAAAAAAAATTAAATTAAAAAAAAACAACCTATCATATCAAAAACTATTCCGTCTACACTCTTTTTTTTGTACACTTGAAAAGTTTTTTTTTTTTTTTTTTTTTTTTTTTTTGTAAATCAACTATTCATGTTACTTTTTTTTTTTTTTTTTTTTTGTAAATCAACTATTCATGTACCATTTTTTGTGTAAATTAAGTCAAAAATGTGTATTTTTTTTCACCACTTTTTATAACTTATGTACCATTATACTTCTTTTCACCATAAATCAAATCAACTACAATCAAATCAGGTGACAAATTTTTTTATAAAAATTTTAAGCTACAATTTTTTTGTGCATCCGGTTCGAACCGGACCGGAACCGCCGGTTTCGAGCCTGTTCCGATTCATATTTTAACATTCACATGAACCTTAACTGGCCCTTGAACCACTGGTTCTGGTTTAAAATTATGAACTGCCGGTTTCGATCCGGTTCCGGTCCGTCTACAGTACAATTTGATCCCGGTTCGATTCTAATCAGTTCTGATTAGAACCGAACCGGTGGCCATGCCTAACAAGCTGGCCTCAAGTCTGCTAATAATCACTGCATTGAAATATATAAAGCTCTATCTCTTTTGGAAAAAAAGAATAAAAGGGAAGTTATGGTTGAACCACCAAGACAAAGATGACCATTGCATTTGACAGATTTTGTCTAAAGAATACAGGCAAAGCAAGCCTATTTCCGTGACACAAAAAACATCCTGTTATTGCCTGCCAACAATTTCCAATTTAGTGGCCAATATTATTGATGTCTTCTCAATTTGAGGCCCTTAAATGGATATAAAAGGATGGAAGTAAGATGGGTATTTTATGATACTCATTCTGCTCTGATTTATTTAAGGAGGGCACAAATAGTTATAGATGAGTTTGAGACGAATACAGATAGTGAAATTACTATCTGCAATAGATACAAGCGGCTCTGTTACTCACTATAATAAATAGTTTTAGTTATAGGTATCTGCGAGTATTTTATCCATTTATAAGTAAAAATTCAATTTAAATAAGTTCAATTTGGATAATTTAAAATTTGTGGATACACTACCCGTTTAAGGGGTACTTTAAACTGGTTTAAAATAGATACAGGTAGCAAAATTTAGATGGTTCATATACGAATATTTAAATAAATTTGAAACGAATATAAATAGTAAAATTTTAAACTGGTATGAACACAGATAATTCAAAATTCACAATGCCTGCCTCTCTTTTATCCCATGCACAATGGAGGAAAAATCTAATAATAAATAATCAACATCTGATTAAGATAAGCTTTATCGTATACCACAAATCAGAAATCATACTCTACATCGTTGAGAAGACAACGAAATGACCTACTTCTAATCAAACTATAATTATGGAAGGGTCTCTTTAGTTAGATGGATCAAATTGAGATAAAGTTTTGCAAATGGCAAATGGCCCGTTCCTTATGCACACACTCATTTGGCAAATGGCCCGTCCTTATGCACACACTCATTA